AAAGATTTCTGCCCAGTTTATTGTTGCCCTACAAGTGGGAGACCAGCTACAAATCCCCCCAACATACACAAGCCCACAGAGGGAAAGGGAGCTGAGCAAGACAGGAGGGGAAAGAGGGAAGGAATACTTCCAGATTCCCAGATTGTGGTTGGGGCAAGAGGATTTTTAATTCTATTATTATTATTATTTGTTCTATGTTGGTTGTCAGATGGTAGGAAGACTTCTTTGTTCCTGCCTATAGGTCTCTCACTAATGTAAGAGTTTTCAATGTGTATTATCTACATCCCACACTTACCCCAGCAGAAAAATCTGACAGGCTGAGGCAGGGTAAGGTTGGTTTCCATGCAGATAAAAGAGCAATTAATGCCCACACAAATAAATTAAGTGCTGTAGCATCACATATTTCGCTAGATAACAGCCTTTCTCTTCCCTGCAGTGGTGCAAAAGCTAGCCTCCCAAAGTTAGCCTTCCTTCATTTGTTTCAGCGGGGAAAAGCTTCTTTATTTTCTTCAAGAAACTGGCTTCGTATTTCAAGGCATTATTTTTGTTGGTCCTTAACAAGTGAAGTCTACATTTTCAGTAACAAGACTCCATTAATTTAAGCAAAATTGACTGGTTTAGTAGTCTATGAAAAGAAATTTAATTTCTAAGAATGTAACTTTTAAAAATACATACACCCCCCCCAATGTAATACCTCTCTCCTCACAACTGTTTTGTATGTTTATTATCCTAGGGAAGTCATATCCAGTCACTTCTAGTAACCTTATTTTTTCTAGAAGGGTCTTACTTCTTTGAAGAACAGCTAAGAGAAAATGGGAAGTAGTTTCTCGCTATCACAAGAACAAAAGGACATACATAATTCCGACTCTTACAGAAGACTCGCAAAAGTACTAAAAATGCGAGAGTAGCCCAATAGATATATCATTAATTCTGAAGACCTACTATTTAGAAATGAGGCCACTAGCTAATAAAATCACTTAGGTAATCTGTCATTCATTTCTCAATCCTCCTCAATTCTCAGTTGCTTTTAGTATAGCATTAGTATTGCGACGTTACCTACCCGGTCCGAGGAATTGACACCCTCTGGCTCTCACTGCAGCCCAGAGGTTGGAAGAGAGCTGCTGAGGATTTTGATGCTGCAGAATGAGCTCTGTGACTGTTCTTTCACCAAGAGACCGTGCTGCACGCATAGCTCTGATCCGCCCTTCTTCCTCCACCAGCTGGCAATGAACTAATGTCACAAGTTTCCTTTGCATGGGACGACTTAGTACGCTCTGAGTAGTACTGTTAAGACCCACACCTTCAAAACACAATGAAGCAGGAAAAAAAATTAACTACCTCATCTCTCCTCTTCTTGTGAAAGCCTTCAACCACCGTACTGTAGAAGTGCAAACCTGGTTGTTCACTTCATTAAACAGAACACTACAGAGAAGGCATATAAGAAGTTCTTTTTTGTCAGTTTGTTTTACTCAGCATTAAAAGCAAACGGTGCTGGGAGTCACCTTTCCCAGAGGTTAAAGTCCTGCGATTGCCTGTTTGGCCCTCTAAGAAGGTGGAACCTCTAATGAATTCTATCCCCATGTTAAAATTCTGTCCTGCACCCTCCCATATGGATTCCCAGGTGTCTCCTAGGGTAGGATCACCGAATGGTTTGGGCTGGAAGGGACCTTTAAAGGCCATCTTGTCCAACCCCCGGCCATGAGCAGGAACATCTTCACCTGGATCAGGTTGCTCAGAGCCCCATCCAACCTGGCCTTGAACGTTTCCAGCGACTGGGGAATGACCACTTCTCTGGGCAACCTGTGCCAGGGTCTCACCACCCTCATCCTTAAAAATTTCTTCCTCCTATCCAGTCTAAATCTCCCCTCTTTCAGTTTAAAACCATTACGTTACCCCTCGTGCTTTCGCAACAGGCCCTGCTAAAATGTTTGTCCCCATCTCTCTCATAAGCCCCCTTTAAATACTTGAAGGCCACAATAAGGTCTCCTCGCAGCCTTCTCCTCTCCAGGCTGAGCAGCCCCAGCTCTCCCAGCCCTTCCTCCCAGCAGAGGGGTTCCACCCCTTGGATCACTGCTGGGGCCGCCTGCTGGGTCTCATACCGCAGTCCTTCCCCTATTCATGGGCTTCAAGGATCACTGCCTTCTTTGACCTTTTGTCTGTCTCCACAAGACAGTTTTTTATCTGTATCTGATATCTCCACTGATTTGGCCAAGCCAAAGTGAACCTTCAGGAGTTCAAAGCTGTTTGGGTGAAATTTACAAACGTGCTGGGAGCCCCTGAAACCAGGTTAAAGGAACAAACGACTCACTAGACACACGGCTGCCATACTGAGTCTGTCCTGCAGCACAGAGCTTGCTCGCTGGGCCACTACTACTCAAAGAAATACTGCTATCACACTGCACTAGCTGGAAAAGCTTGAGACAGCTTTTTGTAAAAATTCATTTTTGAAAACCTGATGCCCATGATGCTCACCTCCACTACTTGGGCTGACAGATTTTCCTAGTCCACCATATGTAACAGTTAAAATCTATACTCTTGAACCTAGTGCAGTTTTGCTAAATTAGAATTACTCCAATTGACCAAGCTCTTGTATACAATCTCGTATAAACCGTGTTTCTTATTTCTCTTGCATATCCTATATGCAGTAATCTTCTTGTTTCAGTTTATTCCTCCTCCACAAATAAGCTGCATTACTACAGTTCTCTCAAAACAAAGCAGAACAAAAAAAAAAAAGGCAGAACTATCTAGTGTTTACTTAGTCTGTAGGGCCACTCAACTTACAAAGTTTGTCTCAACTTACTACACCACAGCCAAATACCTCTGCCTAATACTTCAGCCTTTTCTCAGTATTATTTTTGACACAATGCCTTAAATTTCAACTGCCCCCCCACCTTAACACTAGGAAATTTGTTACCTTTTTTTCAGACTACATTTATATCCATTTTTCAAACAGACTAACTAATCATTTCGATAGTTTGTTTTGCATTTTATTTGTTTCGCATCTTCTTTGTTTCCAGCTTTCATTGTCAAAGGAAACAAAGCACGAACTACCTCTCGCGCTGCTGAGTGGTTTGAGGTACAATGCTAATTCTTCCACGCATTTCTTGCCCTCCTCATAATGCTTGGTATCTTCAGCTCCACTACATAAAGTAATCGGCTGCTGCTCAGGAACCTGAAAAGAGATGACATGTACGTCTACGATGAATACGCGTAAGTGGCAGTCATGCTTACAAACACCGTATCAAGCATTTCCTGTTTTCTTCCCCTTCTGTGTTTCTTCTACATTAGTAAGCATTTTTTCAGCTTAATGAATAAATGGCATTTAAAAAAAAAATCAGCAAAAATGAAGACAAAAAATGTAAAGTACATACGATTAGCAGATTTCTTTTATTTAGTGGCTGACAGGAACCAGAAGCAGAAGGCTTATTCCATGACAAAAAATAAGACGTTGAGAAACATGGCATTTCTTAGAACTATAAAATTTTGATACATACAACTCATATACTGAGGCATGCCCAGAGCTGGCATCAGAACAAATCAGATGAACACTGGTTTGCATGTAAGTACAGATTCGTATCTAGGGCCTCACAGCTCTAAAATCATCCAGGGAGAAGCAACTGGAGCTACTTGGATTAGTGGGAGAAAGACTTAGCAGCAAATGGACCAAGATACCCTTAAAACATATTCTGACTAGACTCAATTAGCAAGCAGCAAACCCAAGTTATCCTACACAGTGCATATGAACGCAACCTGCAAGCATTAATCTGACAGAGACCAATTACATCCTCAGGTTTTGGCTGGTTTGTTTTTCTATGGTGGGTTTGGGATTTTTTTGTTGTTGTTGTGGTATTTATTTCTTCCTCCAGGCATTCACCAGAAATCAGGATTTTTGAAAGGGATGCTGGACCTCCCCTCCCCCCAAATGATGATTTTGGTTTTGTTTTCCTCCATTTAAATTCTTCAAGCTTTAAACAAATATGAGGGTAGAGTATAGCACTGTACTAATGTTCCTTGATATCACTATTCAGCAATCAACTCAATACATGATAGCACCAAGAACTGAAACTTCTCAGAAGACTAAATACAAGCACTTTTTGCATATGCTATTGAAGTGCAAACAGATCTCAGACTTCAACTTCTATTTCCAAGTCAATCTCCATCCCAGTGGCAATAACAGCATGCTGGTCCCACACAGGTGCTTACGGGGACCAACCTAGGCCCTCAGTCTAAAAGCACAAGCCCTTAACGCTTGAGTTGGATAGCTACAAACCCGCTAACCTCCACGAGCAACCCAGCCATGTAAAGAGTAGCATTGTCATGGCAGCAGCAAATTAAAGCAGTGAATATATGTCAAATATATATACACACATATATACATGGTTGCCACCACCAGTGTGGACAGGAGCTTCCTTGTCAATTTTAATAGAAAGTAATCTGTTTCAATCACATGATCACGCTTCTCCTCCAGGCTTAGGCAACTGTGCTTGCCGAGTTGCTCATTTGACACACATGGCAAAATAAAAAATTAGTAGCTGCATAACTCTTGCTTTTACAGTAGGTGACAAAACAGCGTTCGAGTGTAACACATAAGCTGCAATTAAGAGAGCTGATACCACCCTAAAACTAACATCATCAAGATAACCTGGATCAGACACCTCCCCTTATACTGCTATTAAAGGGAAAAATAAAACCAATTTTAATCACACTGAGACAGCAAGGTTAGCCTGGATGCTCTTCACAGACTGCAGTTAACTGGTGAAGTCCTGTAGGTTTTTTGGCTCTGTTTTAATTTCGGGGATGAGGCGGCCTTTGTTTGGGGTGTGTTGTGGGGTTTTTTGTTGCTGTTGTTTCTGGTTTTTTGTCTGAAAGTAAGAAAGCTTTGAGCAAACAAGATTTTGCAACTATATTTTACAGTGGTCAGCCATAACTGTTGCAACAGCCTCATCTGGACTGGTTTCTAGGGATTTGGGAAACAAATATTAACACCTTCAATATTTGCTTTCATGTTAACAGAATACTCCACCTCCTTTTCAAAGCCACTGCCATTTTAGCCGTCTGCTTCTGTCTGCGAAGTTACACAAGCAGAACTGGCTTATTGATCAAACGACACGCACCTCATGCATTTCTGCCGAGACAGAGACTACACAGTCTCTGCCCTGTTCCCTGCTGGAATATATTTTGTGCAGATTCCTAATTACTCCTGCAAGGGTTTCAGTCTGAAATACAGCCACAGCGTCGCAATACCCAGCAGACAAAGGGGGCCTGGAACAGACGCGGGACAGGAAGCCGTGTTCAGCCCTGGATTTCGATCTTGAATTAAGGTAGGTTTAGCATACATTCACAGCAGCAGTTTGGAATGCCACACACAGCACAACTCCACCAGTGAGACACAAGGACTGTCTAGGCAACTAACAGAAAGCTTCCCCCAGAAAAAAGCTGGCATAGAAAAGCTTCCAAGAGTTAATCAAGCTGTTCAGCACTGTATCTGCATATCGTTGCCATTCTCTTCGCAAAGGAAGCTTCAGTGTGAAAATCTAAAAGCCTTGTACAGCTGTACTTTTTGCAAAACGAGCCCAAAAGAGATTCGAGTTTTAACTTCCATCTTAAGCTGGAGCAAGTGTAGTACTGAACAATAAAACAAGATGCCCGTTTTGTGGTGTCCGGAGTCTTCAGAAGAGCATGTGTTTCTCCCCACAGGCACTTCACACATCTTCACTCACGTGATGCATCTCACAGTAAAACTAACAAATAATTTGCCCTTTTGCTGGTTCTATTAACTGCACTTCCAAGACTTTTTTTAACTGTTTAGGCCTAGTATAATTTTAAGAACAGCATCTACCAAGAGAAAAATGGTAAAGACATGATTCATAAAAGTAACAGGAGATCTGAATTTTAATTGTGGCTCTGTCGTGAAATTGCTGAGGAACAGCTGACAAATAATTCCATTCCAAAGCACTTTGCTTCCCCTTTGCAAAATGTCCTTTTAACAGCACGCAGAACCCTACGGTCACTTCTGTTTACAACGTCTCTCGAGAGCCTCAAAATAGATGCCCTGCAGAGTGAGTTCATTACTTTCGTCCTCATTTAATATTCCATTCCCTCAGACACCACACCCGTATCACAGTTTTCACTGCAAATATACTTACATAATGTAACAAGCACCTCCCAAAGGGGACTAGAAGAAGACAGGAAAAATAATCTCAGATGTTTAATTAGTTTACATTTCTGATTGTTTTGTGTGCATCTGCCTTGGCAATGACTGTGAGTACCCCAGTAGTGGAATGCCGTCCATCAGCATGTCTACTTGGAGCTGTGAGAAGAGGCATGTTATGATGGCACCAGGAAGGGGACCAGGAAAAAAATGCTAAGGCATCATCTCATACCAGGCAGTGCGTCTGAATTGGTGATTTAAGTGTCAGTTGATGAAAGAGGTCATCTGGAGTTGTCACTAATTACCATTAAACATCTAATTGCAGAGAATGAGAACATGTTGAACAGACCAAACCCCTTTTTGTCTGCCTTGAAAACTGTTTCCCCTCCCATATTGCCCCTCCCCCTACGAACGGACAATTTACTTCCTGTCAAAAAAAACACAAAACAACAAACAAAACCCAACCCTCGTGTCTTCAGTTCCTCAAGAGTTTGCACTAAGGACAACTTCTCCACAGGTTCACCAGAAGTTACAATACAACATTATCAAATGTGCCGCTAAGATCTCTACAATTGTAGTTTTCCCCCTTTGAAAGGGCGGTGAGTTAAGATCACTCCATCCGTTCTCTGGTCATACACATGATTCCATTGCCTAATGACTAGAATTGTATTTATCATGTCCAGCAACAGACCATGACAGAAATCAAAGCACCACAGGAATTTTTGCCACTTCATGTCACCTGTTAGGAACGTGCGCACTGCTGTTTGATGTGTTAAAAAAACAGGAGGGAAGAGATTAGATGACAGACCCGCCATTATGCACCTTCAAAACACTGGCCTGGTGAATGTTTAAAATAGTTGTATATGGTGAGTAATACAGGGATGCTTGAATAGTTAAAATTCAAAACCTTATTCCCATAGAAACTAGCTTAAGGGACTTCTTTACCCAGGAAGTTTAAACAGCAAGGTATCCCACGAATGCCTTTTTAATCTGTGTTTAAGGCAACCAGGAATAATAATTCCCACCTTCCCCTCACAATCCCTTCTCACCGCCATCGTCTTATGCAGGTGAACTTCTTTACCTATACGTGGGCTGAACTGCCCAACCCCTGCCTTCCAGAATAGACCCTGTAACTGTCCATGTGTACCATGCTATAGCGGGGCAGCAGAAATCTGAGTCTCTGCAGCAGGTAATTTTCACACCAAGTGTGGCTATAACCTGGGCAACAGGTTTCATTTTTGTAAAGGGGTGGGGAGACAGAAAACTGAGAAACAGCCTGTAATTCAAGTCAGAAACCAACTGTTTTCACCATTAAAGTGAAAAAAACCTACACAGAGATAATGCTATTGTCAGAGAAATAGGTTACTGCTTCCCCGGGTGCCTGTGTGACAAATTTAGGACGCTTTCCCCCGAAGTACAGTCCCGCTTATTCCACCTATTGTGCCTGCTCAAAGAAAGCCAACCAACATGACTTGCCCTGGAATCCCATCCTTGCTGCCAGTCACAGCAGAATTGGTTTGTTTCTTCAAACTGCCTGGTCTCCTCCTCTGCCTCCAGCAAAAAAGCGCTTAACACGTATAATGTGTGAACTTCTCACAAGCCTCCCCAATGGGAAAAGCACAAACTGTTCTTGTCCCCCTCAGATAAAAGCTTTAATTGTGTTGTATTATTTCCTCCTAAGATGAAACCTGTTTTTTGGAATTTATAATTTTAAAATGAAGTACTACACGTCTCCATGGACTCAGGTTAAAGGCGTACAGGGATTTGTTGGAGATTTGAGGCTGTAAATGACACATACACCCTCCTGTAGCTAAATCAAGAAGTGGAACAAGGAAATGGGCTTTGTTTCATTAAAGTTGTTAATACTACTCGTGCTCCGTGAGCTGACTTGCTGCTCACAGATCATTTTTGCTGATGTGTACCAAAGAGAGCCCACCTTCTTAATGGACAGAGTTTAAAATGACTGTATTTTCTCTAAAATACTTTTTTTTTTTTCTGTCCTCCGCCAAGCAGTCTTCTGTAAAAAGATTTAAAAAATGGCTTTAGAGAGTAGTGCAAAACAGCAACTGTCTCCCTGTCCTTTACAGCAGTGTACTTATTTTCTAGTACTCCACAGCCTGGTAAACATTACAACAGATGCCAGGAAAGGAAAGCAGAGAGAGGACGGTGATTCTTGCTGAACGCTGACTTCATTCACATGCTCACTGAAACTAGGAGCTGTTGGGGGAGGTGGTGCAAATTTCTGTCAAGGGGAAAGTTTGTCAGTAATAAAAACCCAGCTAAGATCACCGAGTACTGTTTAGACATCAGAACTCCGCGAGCAGCTTACATGCAGGTCTGAGTAGCAAATGAGGAAGGGAATACTGTCTCTTTTGGTGGCATGTGCAGCTTTAAGGCCACGATGAAACAAGGTCCTATAAATATTAATCACATAAAAATTTAAGATACAGAAAGGAACACAAAAATTACGTCATTAGCTCAAAGTCTGAGCCCAGAGTTCAGAGCTCTCTCAAGACAAACACAATACTATCGTAACACCAGTCTTCCTTCTTCATGCATCATGCACATACGGATGAGGAAATTCTGGTCTGCTAACTAGCAAAACCAGAATAAAATTCCCAATTACCTGTAACAGAGACAGGGTGATTTTCCATCTCATTCCAGAGGATCTTGTTTTTACGGAAATTTTAAATCAGGCAAAGATCAAGTTAAAGCTATCGCATCGCTTCTCACAAACCTTAACAAATGCACACAAAACAACCAAAGAAAATGCAGGAGGAAAAAGACATTTATCATAAATGCAGGCATTTGGATACAGCTGGAACTATTCTAGAAACTCCAGAGAGGAAGGAAAAACATATAAGGGAGAAAGAGAATTACAATATTTATTTATGGCACCACCCACAGATTTCACACTGCTTGGAAGCTCTTCAAAGACAGCAGTATACGCATATCACAGAAATGGAAGCACTCAGTCTCATCGCCTTCTCCTGCAGAGCAGGATGAGTCACTTTGCACAGCCAGAAACACAACTCAATTTTAAAACTTCTGGTATAACTTCTATGCCACACACCACAAAAGAACAACAACAAATTAGCCGTATTACTTGATAAACCCAACAGAAAAAGAAGCGACATAAGCACATCTGGATCTCTAGGTCCCAGCACCTAGTAAAAAGCATTGTAAGAGCATCTTTCTTTCTTCCACATTTTTTAAAGTTTCTCCAACACACAGCTCTTTCCTGTTCCCTGAACTATAGATCTCACTGAATTATCTGCTGCCTTCAATGCCACTGAGCCGAGCCACCGAAGCAGAACAAAGGAAACCAATAACCCCTCTGTGATAACTGCATCCCATCTACTTTTTTGTTCCTCACCTGCAAGTTAGACATGATTTTCCCTCCTCTCCTCAAGTCCACAATCCTGTCCAGCCTTGGGAGGTATGGGTCACAGGAAACTACCAGTGATCTAACCATGATAAGCTTATGCCAATTTAAGTCTGCTCTGCAGCTGAACAGGGTGATCCTGCTTTCCACACATCCCTGCTCCTTTCCTCAGGCTGCCATCAGTACCAGTGCCGCTGGAGTACTCATCCCCATCAGACCACCAGTTCAGCTGACCTCACAACTACCTTCTCCAGCAGAAAGGGGAGTCTCGGGCAGGCTCCCCACATTCACCTATATGAGCCTAGACTAGCATATCAGCTCAGGAAGTTACATTTCCCAAGCAGAGTTTCAAATTAAACATAAGGCAGTAGTATAAAGGCTGCTACCAGAGCTGTCTGTCCCACTTCCCTTGCCCTCTGCTCCTGCTTTCGGGACAACTGATCACAAGTCCGTCGGGTGAATACGGTAAAGCAAGTAACCTACCACAGAACAACAGCTTCCCGCCAGATAAGCTCACTGACCCAAGTTCATCTTTTCAGCAGAGCATGGCGAGACACGAGTTAGGGAATAAGGAAGGGAACAAAATCAACTCATTCTGGTGACAGCCCACGGTTGCACTAAATTAGATGTAACACAAAATCACAGTCACTGACTGGCAGAATGCAGATTTGAGCTGTTGTTCCAGGCACCTCTACTACAGCATCTCAAAGGTTTGGTGCCTGTATTCATAAAAGTGAGTCTAGAAAAAGGTAGACATGTACGCTACACACCATTAACACAGTCATATTCTTTATTCATGACTTGTCCTCCTAAAAGAAAGGAACAAAACAACATAGAAACAGATTTTAAAAACTTTTTTTAAAGAAAAAAAAGAAAGCACTGATACCTGAGCACCCACTAGCTGCAGCAAGGCTGAGTTCACAGGAAGGAGTTCAATGTCTGTATTGATAGTGGTCTGGTCAAAAGGGCATGCCTTACGGTGGAGCTTGTTGAGGCACATCTTGCAGACCGTGTGGCCGCAACCCAAGCTGATGGGCTTCCGGATTGTTTCGTCGAAAGTCTGTGTGCAAATTGGGCAGGACAGAAAATCCGTCCATTGTGGAGCTTGTACAGGCATTGCTTCAGGAGTTAATTGACAAGACAAAAATCTAAAGCACAGATTCCACTGGAATCAAAATCTTTGAAAAAAGCCTGTTTGTTTTTATATATCTTCTGTAAGAACAGACAGTCAGCACATAGTGTGAAACATAACCTAAAAGAAAACAGAAACAGAAAGTTAGCATTCCCTACTGGAAAAGGCATGGGAAATCCTTTGTGCTAGGTAAATATCCCTTGTGGAGGTATAGCTGAACTAGAGGTGCAGTTCTGACATTAAACAGGGGACTGAGTCATGACTTGCTTTAATTCCAGCTAGTCTCTGGCACTGGAAAAGCCACTTAAAACTGTCTCTGCTGTTTTGCAGCTCAAAAAAAAGAAAGAATCAACTTAGTTATCTTTTTGACATTATAAGACTAATTAGCTTTTAGTTTTTATGTTCTCTTTTTTCTCTACAAATGAACCGATTAACATCAACTAGATTTGAATTAAAAAAACCCAATTTTGAAGGGCTATTGTGCTTATTCCACTAAACCAATGTTTTATGGTATTCATTGTGAGCTTTAAATAATTTTGCTTAGACAAGGCTTCATCCAAAACCTCTATCGCAAGCAAGCTTTCTTCTGAGTTCAGTGAGGTCTGGATTGGCACACAACGACTCCACGGAAACATTTGAGCTGCCACAGCCTTGAGAAGAAATGGATGATGGTTCAGGGTACAGTCAGACACCGCCTGCATGCAATACAGCTCACGCTCATCGCTAGGTAATACTACACACTGCTACTCCAGCACCTTCACACGAGCTAGTCTGCACAGAGCTGCATGGTGCCACGCGGGCTTATCCGGTCACATCTCCGCTACCCCAGGAATCTCCGTGTATTACTGGGTATAATTCAGCATCAATAACATGCCCTCAGTCTGCCACCAAGCAGCTCCATCCTTTAAAAGCAGACAGAAAATTTCTAGCAGTAATTTTGGACTGGAAGAGTGAAAACAGTTTCCCCAGGACCCTTTTCTAGCCCTGATTTATATCATCCATTGCCTACCTAGAGATTATATTGACAGAGAAAGTAACGTCTTTAATGCATTGAGAAATAACACAAACACGACAGAGGAGAAACTAGGAAGTCTTTATTACTTGGCACTTTTGAATCAAAATGCTAAGAAGATCAAATGTTACTAATTATAAGGGAAGATAAGACATCTCTTTGGGACAAAAAAAAAGGCAAAACTCCACATGTGAGGAGAAATAAAAGAGTAGACAAATGAAATGATGTAAAAAGAATCATTATCAAAAGCAAAATGGGTAATAAAAAAAATTCTGATGTCTGGCTTGCTTTCTATCACCAATGAAGTTAGAAAAAAACAAACAGTAGTGGAGGTCACAGATTTATTACCAAACATTTTTTTCCAAGCAGCAAAACAACAACAAAAAAACCCCACCCCAACCACCCAGATGTGTTGGTTTCTCTTTCCCACACACCACTGGCTTAGGTTTCACACCGAGGAGTGTGCACTCACTTGCTAATACCTGTTCAGATAGAAATTTCTTACATAAGCAAAACACCAACATTTTATCAAATATTAGCTTAAAAAACAACCTCAACATTAAAATTATAATCTCAATTCTAAGCACAGGCAAAGAGAGAAACTTCAAGTTAGGACTTGTGCAATTCAGAATCAAAGCGCTTTAGAACAGCAGCACAAATCTAATGCTAAAACAGAGACTCTGAAAAGCCTCAGGCTTTTGTTCCAACATTTAATGCAATGTTGTTCGCAGTCAACGTCATTTTGCCAAGACAAACAATGGAAGAGTTCGTAGTTAAGCTTTTAGCCATGTTTTAGCAAAGAAACATTAAAGCTTAGCTCTAAAGCTAATGAAAAAAATTACTTCTACCTTCCAAAGCCAACACACAATGCCACATAGCCACTGTTTAACAGCCAACAGGGAATCAATAAGAAATCAATGCTACCCGGACAGGATGGTACTGAGGAAGAGGCACTGCGTGTGGTTAACCCTAACACCACCACTGCACAACTAGAAGATCTGCCAAGGTTGTTCAAGGTCCTGTCCCTCCCCCCCTCACTTACCTCTTTAATAGCAAATCAATATTTTTTTCATCTTGTCAGCAGACATCCAAATCATTCCCATTACTACTGTATCATCATAACCCAAAGGAAAACATTTATACTTGTTAAGTTACTTGATTGAGCTAACTGCCTAAAACATCCACAAAATTTACTTCCAAGCCTCCCCACTTTATCTATTTTTCCAAGTAAATGTCGGTATCAAGTATCCCAGCTAGAATCATTCTTTGTAAACCAAACCTGTAACAGAAATTACCTTGAAACTTCACAAAAATCTTTCTGCAAAGGGCAGCATACAGCTTGATAAATCTATTGTACATATTGCTGTGCTATGAAGTAAGATGTGAGGTTCAAAATTTAAGAGCTGAATCATACTGCTTCCTTTACCACGCTGGAATTAAAATACCCACCACCAATTTCCCAGACACATCCACAATTCAGAAACAGTTTGAACAGTCTGTTTGAAACATTGATTACTAACCAAGCATTATGGAGAAGAGCATTTTCTTACTAACTGATCAAATCTAAAACCAGAAGCCAGTATGAAGCTACACCATCTGTACTAAAAAGTAGATGTGGACGTGGAGACTCCACCATCCCAGGCTATGAACTGGAAAAAAGGAGTTGAACACAACTTTAACGTGAGTTAACTAATTAAAAAAAGACATGTTGTTTCTACCTGTACCTCTGGCCACTCCAGTCAACTGGCATGATCAAATAGGTCATATTTATTTACAATCTCAACAGCTGAAAAGAAGTTTGGGGAGTCTGGGCAGGGAGGGAGTAATTAGCAGCATCCCTGATCCCTTATCAAGACAGGTCTCAAAAGGCTGGAGAACAACGGAAGCAAAGCTCACACACAAGCACAACTCTCAGAAGGGTCCTAATGAGCCCAAGCCTGGCACCAAACCGCCAGAATAAAAGGGTACGCCACACATGAATGGAAAACCCACAGCCCAGACTGCGGATACGCATCACTGGAACGGCATGTTTCACCGGTGGGTGACAGTTCCCCCTTACCCGTGATGGACTTCTCTCCTACCCCTCATTTCACCAGACTCTGCAGCGCTTGTGGACGCGTACGGGTGCCTGAACGCCAGAGAAATGCCACGGACAGCACCGACAACAGAAAATACTGCTGGGAGAAATCTCAGGAAATCATCTATTTCAGCACAGCCTAACTGCTGAAACAGATGGCTAACTGGCTTGATCCAGCCAACCTTTTCCCCACAGGAGAAAAGAATAGCTGCTTGCGCAACAAACCCTAATAAATCTCCCAAGCAGATCAGCACAGAACTGTGGAATTCCTCCAGTCCCGCGTAAGACAGGAACGGCATCACAGGGACTGACAGTTCACGAGCTGCGTGCTTACAGGCTGGCACCAAACCAAGCACTGCTGCTGCCACCACAGCTTTCCACATACACGGCCCAGTTTTCCTGCTGGATCTTCAATCTTCAGACAAGGAAACCGAGCAAAGCGCTGAGGTACAACATCAATCTCTCCCAGGCACAAAACTTACAGATGGAGTATACACATAAAGAAGTGAAGTTGGGAAAGATACACGCCTTTTCGCAGGGTTTGCGACTTGCTATGACCTTGGAAATAACTGGAAACAAAATATTCTCTAACTTCAAAGAGCTACTTTAAACAAGAGAGATTACAAGTGCTAATAAAATGATGAAAATAAGACAGTTTCATTATCACAGACAGCTACTGGAACCATCACCACCACAGAAAGAGAACACTTCCTTGTACAGATAAAGTAGGAAAAGCATATTCACACTTTCATGGTACAACACTTTTTTTTAAAGTGTTTCTCTCCAGCATTATGCCAGAGAATGCAAACATTTATAAAAGACATGCCCATTTAAATAAAATCCCTCTCTCCATAATGTCACAACATTTTTAGCCCAGCCTCTCAATTCACTACGCATTTCACACTTTTCACAACATTTAAATACACACACACACTTCTCTGTGCACGGCTGAGGAAAATAAAGATATGCCAAAACCCAAGAAAACAAACAACTAAAAAGACACATCCACAGTACGTAAACTGGAAAATAAGAAGCTGTAATGAAGAATGAAGATGCCCTGAGACACAGACCTTAAACACTACATTGGCACCAGATTTATTTCATTATTTCTGAGTTTTAAAATACAAAATACCTGTATGCAAGTCTTGTCCCCCTGCTTAGCCCTGGATGAGCTGCTCTTAATCCACAGCTAGAACCACCTGAAAAACCTTCTCTCTTCTGGGCCCTCCCCCACCCCCCAAAAAATCCTTGAAATTCCATCCTTCAACCCAGACTAGAAATGTCATGCTGTAATCAGATCAGTGACCCGTCTCCTCTGGGATCCTGCCAGTGCTTCAGAGAAAGACAGGATCACGCTATAAACCACCGGGACAACTGCTTGATAATTTATTACATTCCTTACTCTCCTGGACCACAACGCAGAGGGGTAACGCAGTCTCCTGTCCAAGCCATGTGATGTCCATGATGGCCAGAGCCTTCCACACATAGCCAGCAAGCTTTGCAGAATTAGCCCTCGAGAATGAGATGTTTTTAAACTGCAGAACACTTTGTACCAATATGCACTGGCATTAAGTTTTGCATATGATGACATACAGAACACTTCTGCTTTCTGTTAAAATTAAAATCCCTTTAAATTAACTGCTCTCTCCGAGTCTTTCAGCACAGGTACCAAGCATACACCGACTTCTCTCACACACATGTTACTTGGCCCTAACGTGTACTAGCACAGACGTATCATGTGCTGCTTCGTCATGCACAAGTTATCACCGCTCTTTCCCAGCAGCAGTCCACAGTAAGTCATGTTACAGTTTAGGGCAGATGACTCAGCACACCTACGGGGCACCCGCCGCTCAGTTTCTGTATACACAGCTCTTGACAGCACTACTGCTCCCCCGT